GGGGTATCTTCCTCTCCCTGATTCTGTAATTGGGAAGAGGAGATGTAATCTTTGCATTCCTTGGCTTGAAGCTACATCATTCTAACCTCTGTCTCCATCTTCACATGGATTTCCTCCTGTGTGTGTCCTCTGCTCCTCTTACATGTATAAGGACATCATCATATCAAATTAGGGCCCATCTTACTCCAATATGGCCTCAGCTAATCACATCTGCAATGACCCATTTCTAAAAAAGGTCACATTCTGTCTGAAGTTCTCCTGATAGGACCCCCCTTTGGTGCAGGGGGCACAATTTAGCTCATCACAACAGACCTCAGTAAGCCTTTTCTCGGACCACTTTCTAATTCAGCAAAAGATAACAACTGCTTATCTTCACTGACCAGGGCTGTCACATGGAGTCCATTTCTAAAAACCTCTCAGCAGTCAGGAAAAAAGGGAAGGGAGGCACGAGAGAGCAGCATGCCTGCCATAGTCCCTGAACCCCAGAGAGACTTTGGGAATAGTGAGGCTGTGCCCTGAAGTAAAGGAGGCATCAGCTCCTCCTAGGCTGGCCCACTCCGACCTTGTTCACAAACTTAAGGAAAAAGATTAATTCCCCACCCCACTGGGGGTAAGATGCAAGACAGCTGTTGACTTATCAGAGCAGCCCTTGTTCTAGTAGCTGACCTACCAGCTGCTTCTCATCACTGCCAGAGTGAGGACAATCTGGAGACCTGCCCATGGTTCCCTTGCAGTGAAGAGAATGGATATGCATCCAACCTTCTAAAAGGATTATAGAGAAGCCTAGCCTACTGATACTTTCTATTATAGTAAAGTCTTTAGTCTGTAACCTGGGGAACTTTAGTCCTCCTGGGGACAAAAGACACCTATCAGGATAGCTATCTCCTATATACATGTACAAAGGTGTATTCTCTTCCTCATATGCTGACCCCTGGACATAAGACAACAAGCAGACTTAGTCCTTACCCTAAGTGAGCACCTGTCCAATAATGACACAATCACAGAGACAAGAGACTACATTATTGGCTTGGTGCCCATAGCTCAGCAGTTAGGGCACCGGCCACATACACCTGGGCTGGTGGGTTCGAACCCAGCCTGGGCCTGCCAAACAATGACAATTACAACACAAAAATAGCTGGGCATTGTGGCAGCTACTTGGGAGGCTGAGGCAAGAGAATCGCTTAAGCCCAAGAGTTTGAGGTTGCTGTGAGCTGTGATGCCATGGCACTCTACCAAGGGCTATGTAGTGAGATTCTGTCTTAAAAAGAGAGAGAGAGAGAGAGAGAGAGAGAGAATACATTATTGGTGGAGCCCAGGGGTGAGACAAGAGAATGTGCCCTTGAGTCCGCCTGGGAAGGTTGGGGAAGGCTCCAGGGAAAAGTCAGCATTTGAGAAAAGGCACCTGCAGCCAGACAGATGGGGTCGGATGCTCTGTGCAGCAGTTGCAATGCTGGGAACATTGTGGTTGTGCCTAGGGCTGATGACTGGGCTGATAACCAAGCTGATGTGCCTGAAGAATCAAAGCAGAGGGCAGAGGGTGAAAGGAGACACTGAAAAGCTAGGTCAGAGCCAGGTAATATGGACCTAGTGGGCCCATTCAGGAAGCAGAAGTCCCAGGCTATAGATGAAGGGGGTCTTCCAAGGTGAGGAGTTGATGGAATCTAAGCTGCAGATTCTTAAGAGTCCTATGGCAGCAGCTCAGAGGCTAATGCCAGAGGCTTTGGATAAGATGGCACTAGACCACTGCTGGGTGCCTAAGCAGCATTCAATATACTTGTTGAATGAACAAAACAAAGCAAAAGCCATTGCGGGGCACAACAAGGAGAAAAAATGGAGGTAGAGGTGTTGGCTGGGCCACGTGGAAGCCTGTAGAGCTAAGGGTGTCATGGTCATGTGTCTGAGAATGGCTCTCAAAGGCAGGTGAACATACAAGTCCAAAAAGCAGGGATGAGGCCTGGGCTAGAGAGGTTGTCCTAGGAGTCATGTGCCAGCAGGCCTCAGATGAGCCTGCCTGGAGAGAAGGTACCCTGGAACTGATCCTAAGTGTTAGACAGAGAAAGGGAAGCCTCCTATGGAGCCTGGAGCAAAGGGTCCATGATGGCTGGCAAGGAAGCCCAGGAGGCAGACAGTTCCAGGGAGGTGGTGCTGGTCACCAGTGAGAAATGGCACAGAGCTCAGGGAAGCTCAGACCCCACAAGACAAATTTTACTGGCCAAGAGCTGACTCAGGTAAAAGAACTCTCAGTGGGCAGGGGAGTTGGGAGCTTCAGCAGAGAAGGATGAAGAATGAATGGGCAATGAGGCCATGGACACAGCCAGAACAGATTTTCACTCAATCTCCAGGAAAAGGCAGGTAAAAGAGAAGGAAGGGAGGAGAAAAAGGTAGGAGCTAGGGAGGCAGCACTTTTGAAGCTGGGAGGGACAGAGCAAAAACAGAGGTTGCAGGGAAGGTGGGCAGGAAGGAAGATCTTACTCACTCTGCTCACAGACACAAGAAGGATGTGAAGGGGGGGCAATGCAGGAAGTCAAGTCCCTGCTGTTCTTTGTCAGAGACTAGAGAGAAGGCCCCACACCCAGCCCAGGTGCACATGAAAGTCCAGGTATTAGGGAGGGAAATTATTAATAGCGTCCATTCATCAAGTCCCTACTGGGTGCCATCCAATCCTCTGAACCACTATACCCATAAGGACTCAAAGGCTCAGAATGGCGAGTGAACTTGACCAGAAGTCAACAGCTGACAAGGGGCACGGCCAGGATCTGTACCCACACCCATCCTGCACTGCCCATTCCCCTCCCTCTGGCTGTGTACTAGCCTCCATTGCTAAAATAGGAAAGGTGGCCATCTGCTGAGAAATGGAGCGGGGGGTGTCAGGGGCTGGAGAAGCATGGCGAAGAGGACATGTCAGAGGAGTCTAGCAGGTAGCAGGCCCAGGACAGCCAAGGACCTCCATTTCTCATAGCTGCGTGGATTCTCTCCAGCAGCCCTTGGGACTCAGGGTGGAGAGCAGAAAGTATGACGGGGCTGTCCTGTAACTAGGACAGGAAGGAACAAAGGAACAGTAAGTGACCCACTACAGGGCCTTAGCTATTCAGGGAAGGAGACAAGGCAGAAGGCCACCTAGACACATGGGTAAGAGTAGACGTCTATACAACGCGTGGGGGACCCCGATGAGGTGTGTGGGCAATGAGGGCATCATCATGAGGGAGCTGTAAGAAGAAGAGTTAGGCTAGTGACCAAGAAGGAGCAGGCCAAAAACTCCAGTGTGGCCTCCTGAGGTCACTGGCTCAAGTGGAGCTTAGTTAGAGCTCTAGGGCACATGAGAGCCCAAAACTGAGGGGCTTGAGAATGCCTCTAGAGAGTACCTGGACACAGACACCTAAAGTGCAAGAGGATGGTGAGCAGGGCCCAAGTCCAAGAGAATGTGGGGGGCAGGGATGAGCACACGTGTACCACGGAGGCCCTGTGGGTCCTGCTGGCCACTGTGAGTAAGAAGGGGGATTAAGAGAACTTAAAGTAAACCTCCCCATGCAGCTGACACTGTCCTGGGCACTTCCACTGGTGCTTTGATTCTCACTGAAATCTCCAAAGGTTTCTCTGTGATGGTGTCACAGAGAACTTTGGCCCATCTTGTTTCCATGTTACAGAGAAGGAAACTGACGTTTGGAAAGTAAAATCACTGAGATTAAGCAGCTGATATGGGGTAGAGTGTGAATTTAAATCCACACTGCGAGGAACCAACAAATCCAACTATGGGGCTCTGGAGTGACACGTCCTGGGAAAGAATGGGCTCCACCTGGTACTGACGTTGTGCTGCCAGACAAGTTGGACACAATCAAATTTAGTTGCCTCACCTGGACATCAAAGAGAGCAGATGCCTCACGAAGTTCCTGTGGGGACCAAAACAATCAGCACTCTTCCTGCCACACAGTTCATTATAAAGGGTCATTTTAAGTGACCATCACTAATCAAGTATTCAGATGAGCCTCAGAGTTGCAATTTGAACTACCTAACTATTAGACACCCAGAAATATGAAATCAGGAAAGAAACTGATGAATTAATAAAGTTCTTGCTTTCCAAACTCTCACCACTTGCCACCAGAAACAAAGGAATGAAATGGATTTGAGGAATGAAAACCCCTCACCATCCAAACTCAAACTTCCTCACCCCTGTGCCCATATACAAATGCTTGCTGTGCAAACTAAGGAGCCAAATGGGTTTGCATACCAAGAGATACCTTGGTGGTGGAAGATGGAAGTGCCCAGGACAGTGTCAGCTGCATGGGGAGGTTTACTTTAAGTTCTCTTAATCCCCCTTCTTACTGACAGTGTCCAGCAGGACCCACAGGGCCTCCATGGTACACATAAAAATGCTTGCTGTGCAAACTAAGGAGCCAAATGGGTTTGCATACCAAGAGATACTTGTATGTTTTGGTTTGGTGTTAAACAATATACCACACAGGTGGTTCCCAAACCTTTGAGAGCATCAGTTACCTGGTTGTGATTTTTCTTCTTTGGAAATTTTCTGAGTGGGCCAGGACTCTGCAGTTTTGACAAACCCTTCCGGCAGGCAGTCCCGGAAGCACATTTTGAAAATATTGCCTTCTCTATCCACTATTGTCTGCCTATTGCAGTATTCAAGTGGTAAGAGAAGGGCATGGCTCTGTGTAGCATATTCCAAAAAGAGCTTTATTAATCAACATATACTCAGCCCTCTCCAAGATAAAGGGGGTTGATGATTCAACATGAGGCTTGTAACTCTGTGGCTGCTCCCCCACCCTGTATCATGGAAAAGGGACACCAGGCATCACAGCTGGATGGCACTATGGGCATCCCAGTTCCCTTTGTGCCAAGGCCCTGCTCACCAAGCCACCCTGAGAATGACAGCTACCAGTGTAGGTTTTCCTACAGAAGAAATCTACAAATTCCAGCAAACTGAGCACTCTTGCTGCTTGGGAGTTTCCCACTACCCTATAACTGATGAACTGTCAACTCACATTAAACAGCATCCCCCATCAATTAGATAATCGCCCAGGCCACTTTCTTACCCCTGTGCCCACATACAACAAGTCACCAAATCTCTGAATGCCTTCTTCCTTGTTTTCCCTTGGAGGCTGAGACACTGGTGGGGAGACTCAAACCACCCAGCACTACCTATGCTCTAAACACCTACAAAACACCCTTGCCCCAGTACTTCACACAATTCCTTACACAGAGAAGGTTCTTAATAAGACATTATGGATGAGGCAGTACCCACTGAGAAAAGTGGCTTCACCATTATTGTCTAGTACATCCTCAAAGGATAAGCTTGGTACCTGAAAGTCCACAGGAACTGGACCATAGGGCACACTTATGTTTAAGGCCTGGACGTCCTCCCGCTGCCTGATGTCCATCCAGGGGTTGTAGGCCACAGGGGGTAGCCTGTCAGGGACCTGGGGATCAGGAGCCAGGGTGATGTTCTCCAAGGGATATAACTTCTGGAATTCCTTGGGGAAAAGCACACAAAGCCACAAGGTTGTCATTCTTTTGACAAAGTCACAAGGCTACTGCTCTACAGGCATTTATACTGTCTTTGATACATTTACATGGCAGCTCACTGATGTTCCCCAGGTACTTACCCCACCTTAGGTCACCCTCATGAAAGCCAACAACAAAATCATCCAACTTCTGTTTCCTACAAACTGAGCAGTGACATCTCTCTTGCCTCATGTAAACAGATGCCCTCCTGTCCCTGTCCACACTGGACTCTCAACTATGGTAAGATGTTGTGGGTTTCTAAAACCACCCTCAGGTTCAGTAACTTACTAGGAGAATATACAGATTCAGTGCATAGTCACACTCCTGGCTATGACGTATTACAGTGAAAGGATGCCACACACACTCAGCAAAGGGAAGAGGCACACGAGGCAAAGTTTAGAGGAGACCAGGCACACGCTTTGAGTCCTCTCCCAGGTAGTTACACAGTTTACACTTACTGGTCCCAGCACACATGAAATGCTGCCAACCAGGGAAGCTCAGTAAAGCCCCAGTAGCCCACTTTTATTTGGGGTTTGTCATGTAGACACCTTCTGCCTGGAGCACACCAAAGTTCCAGCTTCCCAGAAGGAAAACAGTGGTTCAGCATAAACCATGTTTGCCTAAACAGTTTAGGCATGACAAGCCAATCATCAGTTCTGGGAATGATGAGAACATTCCCAAAATCAAAGTTCCCAGATGCCAGCCAAGGGCCAACCTTATAAGCAGGCCTTTCGAGGGATCACTATCAGGCTGGAGGACTGAGTCTCACCTGCTAGGAAAGCATGGTCCTTTGGGCTAATCAAAGCAAGACACCTGCAGCATTGAAGGCATACCTCCTGGTCCCTACTCTCATTACATGTCGGGGGCATTCTGTGCAAAGTCAAAAGGATGGGATGCTCAGGCCCAGTGAAAACACAATGGGGAAAAACTCAGAAAGATTATAAAAAGGAAAAGACTATATGCTCTACATGACATACAAGCAAGTATAGGATATGAGGTTCCAACAAGCAACGCACTGTCCTGGGTTTAAGGTGTCTGGACTAACAGGTTTAAGCTGGGGGGAAGGCAGTTGTTGAAGAGAACTTCATGTTCCCCGAAGATTTTCCTCAGGCCATCCCTCATTACAGACTTTGGCAGCCTGCTCTGATTCACTGTGATGACCTCACCATCCAACCCAACATAAAACACTCCGGTGGAGGGAAACAGAAAGGAAAGCATTTCTTACAAGATTCTTATATGTCCTAAGATTCTTACAAGTTCTTGGCCTAGACCTCTGAATCTCATATACACTCCACTGAATACACAAGCGTCCATCAGGCATCCCTGGTGCCTGGGGATGGAGGATGTGGCCACCTTTCCAACACAAATTCCTCCCTCGAAAAACAACACAGTTGTTGGGGCTGTGCTAGATCAGCCCTCAGCCAGCTCTTCACCTTGGGGTATCTGAAGGGGATGTGTGGCTTATGATAGCCAACAGCCAGGAAGAAAGGACTGGATGACATTTTCATCTTTTCCAGCAATTGTATGGCTTGTTCAGTGCTCTGTTTGTCAGGTAAGGTGCCCTCTGGCACATCCACCACATCCACAGGGCAAAGCAGGTTGGCACGAAGTTCTCCATCTGGCCCCCGACATGTCTATCAAAAGAAAATATATGACATCAGCTTTTTAAATACAAGAAATAAAAATCACAGAGGTCACACTCATGTGGATTGAACGTTCACATCACCAGCCCATTAATGTTAGTCATTCAGACTGCACAGGAACATCAGAAACAAAACTAAAACGGAGAAGTGCCTTTCCCTTTTCAGGCAGGGGCTAGAAATCCACCAAACACTTAGTTTCTTGCTGCTAATTCTCTGTCTCCAGGTCATAATTAATTAAAGGAAACCCAACTAAACGAATTACCAAAAAAAATTTATCTCCAACTCGACAATAGAAGATAAATAAGCCAATTAAAAATGGGCAAACACTTCTCCACAATTATAAAAAGAATATAGCACAATACCTTCCACCCCACCCCCAAATTGGGGAGGACACAATTGGACACATTCTCCATAATGTCTCCAAAACAAAAAAAGCCAGATACAGGTATAAACAGCTACATATTATATGATTCTACTTATATGAAGTGTCCAGAATAGGCAAATCCATGGAGAATAGAAACAGATTAGTGGTTGTCCTAGGCTGTGAGTTGAGAAGAAATGACGAATAACTGGTAATGCATCTCGAGCTTCCTTTGGGAGTGATAAAAATGGCCTAAAACCGATTTTGGTGATGGTTACCCAACTCTGAACTTACTAAAAATCACTGAATTGTACACTTTAAAAGGGAGAGTCGGATGGTATGTGACTTATATCTGAACAAAAAATTAAAAAGGAAAGATTCCTGTTTTAAATTTCAAAGACACACTCAGATTTGTGACAAGGTCCCAATCAACTAGGTAAGGTGACAATCCACAGAATTTCCAGATTCCCTGCAACGCAATGCACAGAATGAAACCTCCTGCTTCATTTCCCAAAGTTAGTTTTGACTATGATTTATACATCACAAACACCCAGAGGCTGTGCTGGCTGCTGCTCCATCTCGAAGAAGGAGAGCTGCCGCCCTCCTTCACAGCCTGCCTTGCTGCTCTGCCTGGGCAGGACAGTGCAGCACCTGCCTCAGACCACTGGCTCACCCTCTACATATACATGATCTGCAGCACTCAAGGGGTGCTTGGTACTATCAGATCTGCCACTGTAAGAAATGGGTAGGGGAGGACTAGGAGGCAGGGATCTGGCATGTGTAGGCAAGACCACTAAAAAGTAGCAAGATGGCTTCAGGGAATTGAGGAGTTGAGATAATGTCTTCTAATCTCATTCTGTTCCTACTCAAGCCACAAGCCAACAACTAGCGCTCTAAGTGTTCACTGCATTCTGAAATGGAAAGCTGTCAAGAATTTAGAAGAAGTGGGAATGGGAGGAGGGAGAGGAAGGAGGGGGACTGGTGAGTTCTCACCTAACAGGCACAATGTAGGAGTATACAGCACACTTCCTGAGTGAAGGGATCAACTACAACTTGAACTTTACCTAACAAATGCAAAGAATGTAACCTAATCATTTATACCCTCATATTAATATGAAATTAAAAAAGAATATAGAACAATACCTTCCACCCAACCCCAAATCCTCACCCATCTTCCCCACATAAAGTCTCCAAAAACCTCAGAGGCATATGTTGTTACTCAGTTCTCCAGGTGGTTTTCTGAATTTCTTAAATGTGCATTTTAGCTTCATTTGTACCTGGGGTATTCCTCTAAACCTGATATTTTCTTTGTAGATTCCATTTTTTATGCAATACTCTAAAAATTTCAAACTTCTGTCAGAGGTCTCAGCAGCTGAACATATGATTAGAGCTGAGACAGACAGACAGACAGACAGCATGCCTTTCTCCCACTGAGGGCTGAGGTTCCCAGAGCTCAGACCTCTCTTCTCCCTCCCATGCCTCAGCATCTCCCAAAACCCACAGTTCACAGCCTCATTCAGAATGACGACCCAGGAACCATTAAATGAGTCTAATGAACTAGGGGCTAAGGTTCTAGAACAAAGAGTTCCTATCAGCTTCTAAAATGAAGCCACTGTTCCCATCAGCCCGAATACTAAAGATCCAATACTTATCTCTGTCAAAACATTATCACAAATGAAACCAACAACCTCACAGTACAACCAGCTTCCTTGATAGAACATGCTGTATACACAATAGTTTGTTTGCTAGACAAAGAGAAAGTGCTTCCTCCTCAGAACAGTGTGCCTTTCAGAGCCTTACCTTAGTGTTCTCGTACTTCTCAGAGGAGGGATGATAAGGAGGTAACGACCAGCTATATGGAGAATCATCACTGTGATTGGAAGATATACCTTGAGGGGGAAAAAGAAAGTTGTTAAATAAAAGATCAAGAGTCTTTTAGTACCCCATCCCCTCAAAATAAAACTTCTGTAAACGACTGGGCAAGTGAAACCTCCCCCCCTGTGGGCCTCAGTGTCCCCATCTATAAAATCAGAAGCATAAGCAAGATGATGAAAAGTCCCCTCTAAAGTCAATTCTCTACATTTCTGTTTGAGTACTAAGCATTTGACTGGTCCCTAAGCCCTGGCAATTTGTGTCAGACCCTGCCAAAGGGATACACAAGGGCAGGGCAAGCCAGCTCATTAATATGGCACAGTTCCCTGGAACCCACACTGGACCCTCTCACCCACCCTATGAAGGAAGGAGCAGCATCATCGGTACCACCACAAGGGCAGATGTGGAAAGAAAGGGAGGCCCAAGGTAAGGCCAGGCCTTGCCCAACCAGATATGAGATGAGTGAGCCAGGACTCATGCCCATGCCTTAGGACTTCAAGTTCACGTACTCTCATGAAGCAGAAGCCCACACCTAAGCCTAACAGTTTACAGTCTATTTGGGAAAACGAAATAACAGCACATGAAAACAAGGAAGCCCTGCAACTGCCAAAAGAGTTGAAGTGCCAAGCGGGGGAGCCCTCAGGCACAAAAGTACAGTGGGTCGGGTGAGGGTTTGCAAGGAAGACTTCTAGGAATAAGCAAGGCTTGCAAGGGATGAGAGGTTAGCCAGGAAGAATAGTGAGGAGACATTAGGCAGAACCACAGGAGAAAGAGCACCAGAAGCAGAGCAGCACAGTAGGGCTCCCACCAGCAAAGAAAGTACTGAAGACGAAGAGGGCAGCAGGTGGAGGGCCGATGAGCACAGCAAGTATGGTGGCAAGAGCAAATAGGAAGCTGATGGGCCTGAGTTCAAATTCTAATCCTACCTCTTAGAATCTGGTCAACCTCAGGCAAGCTACTTGACTTCTATGATCCTTAATTTCTTCCTTGGGAAATGATGATGATGACACAAACCCAACTAGCTTGCTGGCAAGAGGATTAAAAAAGTGGCCACCACAGTAAATACCACCTACATAACTGGCACTCCATGGTGGCTACTGTCATCTGTGAGCAGGCCCAATACTGACAGTAAAGGATCTTCAAAACAAAGGTTCATTGGAAAATGTGTTTCCTCAAGGACTACAGGAAAAGTGTTTGTTCTCTGGCTAGGACACAGTGCTTAGGGCCTGATCCCAAAATCCATTGGTCAGGAGGAAGAAGGCCAAGCAACACCACTCAGTCCTGGACTAGCCTCCTTTCCCAAAGCACAATCTCCCCCTCTGTTATACTTCCTCCTTTCTTCAAAATCATCACTTCCCTCCAGCTGCATTCAGGCAATGCCTATGGTGATGAGTACCAAACTGAAGAAAGTTCTACTGGTGTTGGCTTTTGGCTGTGCAATATGGTCTCTGACAGATTTGCCTTCAAAACTGGGCCTGACTTAGCACAGCTGAATGTTTCCTTCAACCTAGACTAGCCAGGTGGGTTCCTGAAAAAGGCTGCTGAGCCCACCAGTATAACCGGTGAGCAAAGGGAAAGCTACAGACAACATTTGAGTTGTAATGTTAACAATAAGCAACCACTCGCCTTATGGTGCTCTTGTGTTCCAATGCACTCACAAACTAACCACATTGGGAGGCTCCCTTGGGCGGTAGTTAAGACAGCTATGACTCTACCTTCCCAAGTAAGGAATCTCAGGTTCCAAGAGGATAAAAATTTTCCCAAGGTTAACCACACAGCTAAGACATAGCAGAGCTGAGATCAAGAGCCCAGATTCATGGTGCTACTGTCTAGCAGAAGTTCACTCTGCTTCCAAAGATGTTTACGTCAGCTATACCTATGACAATGAAAATCTGAAACCATTTGGACTACAGCATGGCACACCTGAATGTTAGATTACTGTGAGGTCATTCAAAACATATTTTTATGAAGAGAATATTATGGGAAAATGTTTTGTTTTTTTTTTTTTTTTTTTGTAAATTCAGGATATGGGCTAGGCATGGTGGCTCACACGTGTAATCCCAGGACTCTAGGAGGTCGAGGCAGGTGGATTGCCTGAGCTCACAGGTTCAAGACCACCCTGAGCAAAAGCAAGAACCTTTCTCCAAAAATAGCTGGGCATTGTGGCAGGCGACTGTAGTCCCAGCTACTCGGGAGGCTGAGGCAAGTGGATCACTTGAGCCCAAGAGTTTGCGGGTTGCTTTGAGCTATGACGCAACAGCACTCTACACTGAGCAACATAGTGAGACTCTGTCTCAAAAAAATAAATTCAGGGCTCGGCACCTATAGCTCAACCGGCTAAGGCGCCAGCCACGTACACCTAAGGTGGCAGGTTCGAATCCCCAGCCCGGACCTGCCAAACAACAATGACAGCTGCAACCAAAAAATAGCCGGGCGTTGTGGCGGGCGCCTGTGGTCCCAGCTACTTGGGAGGCAGAGGCAGGAGACTCGCTTGAGCCCAGGAGTTGGAGGTTGCTGTGAGCTGTAATGCCATAGCACTCTACCCAGGGGGACAGCTTGAGGCTCTGTCTCAAAAAAAAAATAAAATAAAATAAAATAAAATAAATTCAGGATATAAAATTGTACATAAGGATAATTTCAAATCACAAAAAATAACAGGCTCAGAATAAGAGGAACATCAAAATGTAGCTTGCCTCACAGTGGTGGAATTATAATGATTTATACGCCTTATTTGTGACTTTCCTTTTTTCCAGTGTTTTGGTCAAATAATCATGCACTACTTCCACAAATAAAAATAAAGTTTTATATACAACTATTATGTACCCATGATAATTAAAAATAATTATTAAAAAATTGTAAACATTGTACTTCAACATTCCCATTTTGTTATTAAAGAGAATAAGTTTAGGAAGCAGCATTGAAGGTCAGCACTGGCAGTCTCTGACCCTCTATAGGCCCTAGGTACCAGCTGACCTTCAGCCTCCCCAGTGTGCAGCACCCCCACCAAAGCTCAGCCCCCCTCACTAGTGTTACCACATGACAGGTCCTCAAATTTTCTTGTCCCACCCCAGCTTTACCCACAGGGACCCTGTGGGGCAGAGAGTCAGGCCCAGAGCCAGACTCACACCCAACTCCCCCCTCCAGCATCCTTCCTACCACCCAGGAGCCAAGGAACCAAACAGCACCACCAATGGTTTCTGAAAGGAACCCAAACTCCTTCTGCTCTTTTTCACAGTGGATGAGAACATGAAGCCAAGCTGAGAAGTAGGTTTAGAAAGGCAGCAGTGAATACGGAAGTGTCTGCCCAGCCAGGAGGTGCCTCTGCCAAGACAGCCCCAAGCCCAGGAGGGGATTCCCATGTTCAGGCACAAAACAAGAGAACCCAGACGGCGGACGTGGAGCATACCAGGGTGAAAGACTTTTCCCACCGACATGGTCACGTAGCCATTCTCCTTGAAGTACTGGGGGATGGTGGAGAAGTTTCCAGAGTGCACCCTCCAGTAGGAGTTGAAGTCATACAGACGGGTGGTGTCAGGTCTCCTCCCGGTGAGGAAGGACACGCGGCTCGGGGCACACACTGCTTGCTGTTAGGAGCAGGAGCAGAGGTCAATGTCCTCACAGCAAAATGTGTCTCTTATCTCCAAGGTAACCAAGCAGCCGCCCTCGCAAGGGCCCCAGGAAACAGCCTGGTGGCTGAGTCATGCACATCTCAAAGCCAGCCAGTGGGATTTGGGCCTCCCCCGGGTGTCAGACATGAGTCTTCCCACTGACAGAAGGGTAGGAACCGGGCCCTTATCCAGCACATGCCTCTATGCTATGTGATGGTGTCCCCAGGCACACAGGTGGGCAGCATTCCTATGGGCAGCCCCTCGAGGGGCTCGGGGAGCAGAGTTGCCGTGGCCAGCCAGCTGGCCCTCACCCAAAGCCCACTTGGCAGACCTGTGGGTGGCATTCTGAAGCCCCCCTTCCTTCTGAGCACCAAGCATTCCCCCGTTCTGGGAGAGATCTGGCCAGCGCCATCCTGAGCACATTCAGGCTACAGAGGAGGGGCACCACTGAAAGTACAAGCTTCCTTGTGAGCTGATGCCTGATTTTCTTGAACACCCTTTTCCAGACTACACTTCGCTCTAACGAAGAGCTGTCTGGTCCAAATGGGGTCATCTAACAACAGCTGAAGACCCCCCACCGATCCTCAGTGCAGAAGGAGGCACATGCCCACACCTAGAGGTCCCCGGACATACCTGGGCAAAGGCATTCTGGAAGAGGAGGCTGTGGGATGCCAGCTGGTCGATGTTTGGGGACCTCACTAGCTTATCCCCATAACAACCCAGAGAGGGGCGCAGGTCATCCACAATGATAAGAAGGACATTCAGAGCATCTACACAAGAAGGAAGAGTTCTGGTGAGGTCAAGTGCACCGACACTGATACTGAAGCTTCCCTGCCATGAGAGGCCCAAGGCCGGACCCTGTGCCTTGACAGTCCTGCCAGCCTCAGCAAGGGTGGGGGTAGGGTGCACAGAGGAAGCATGAGCTTTGGGTTGCAGGGTTAGGCTTTGGCTATGGTCTCAAGCCTCATGGATGAAGGAGGGGATAGGAAGAGAAGAAGGGAGAAAAGGAAAGAAAAATTAAGTGATAGAAGGAAAGATGAAGGGAGAGAGGGAAAGATGGCTGGATGAGGCAAGAGAGGGAGGAAAGTTGAAATGAAGGAATGGAAAGATGGAGGAAAAAATGATGAAAGAGGGAGAAAGATGTATGGGTGGAAGGGAAAAGGGAAGGATGGACTTTCAGAGAGTTGGAAGGAGGGATGGAAAGATAAGGATAGATGTATGAATGGACAGATGGATGGAGGAACCAAAGGAAAGATGGAGGTAATAAGAAAGGGAAGTACGGATGTATAGGAGAGAGGATGGAAGGATGAACACAGATGAAGAAGGGAAAGTAAGAGGATGGATGGAAGGAAGGATGGATGGACCAAGGGTAGGAAGGAGAGAAAGTATAGGAAGGGAAGGAAAGATGGATGGATGAAAAAAGGAATAGTTGGAGGAAAGAATGGATGTAAGACCGGGAGGGATGGAAGGGCGCCCCCGCAATCTGGGCTCAGGATGCACCTGTCGCAGAGTTAGCTTGCGTCGCGAACTGGAGGGCGGTGCAGATGGAGCCCAGGACCAGGCCGAGCCAGAACAGGCCACAGCCAGGCGGGGGCGGCGGCATTTCTGCTTCGACGCGGCCGCTCCAGAGTTCCGGTGACAGGCTGCGGCGGGAAGACTCAGCAGCAGCCACTGCCGTGGAGGCCTTCGCTTCACGAACCCATGAAGATCGCGCGACACCACCACCACGGGCCCAGAGGCCCGGGCACCGGCCCGAGGGCCAGTGCGCCTGTGCGTCTCTTTCTCTTGCCCCGCCCTTCGGGGGCGTGGCCGAGCGGTGCCTGAGATCTGTCCGCGTGATCCGGCCCCAGTGGGCGGGACCAAAGAATGAACTTAAGACTGACAGTCCGCTGGCAGCAAGCCGTACCCACTCACCCGCTCTCGGGCTCCGCCTTCCGTGAGAGTTGCTGCGGGGTTTGCTACACTTTCACTGTCCTTATATAGCAGTTTCGTGCCTCTTTGCCTTTGTTTGTGCTGTGCCTTTCACCTGGAAGTCCTGTCTTCCATCATTCCTATATAAGGTTACACTTTTCCTTGCCGTCCAGCCAATGCCATTCTCATTCGATGAGGCCCTTCGAGAACCCCCGTTTCCCCATATAAAGGGCCCCTTTTTCCTATTCATTTGTTAAAAAACCACTTCGTAAGTATCATATATATAGATAGATGCCTAAGTATCATGTATATACATATCATATATATATATGATATATACACACACCACACCAGGCACTGTTGGTGGCCCTGGGGCTCTAAGTTCCTGTCCTGATGGAGCTTTATAAAGCAGTAAATAAATATACAGGCTGCCAGTACACATCCAGTCTGGTGAAAAGTCAACCAGGGGAGGAGGAGGAGGTGCTTGCTTTTTTCTATGGGGTGGCCAAGCAGAGGCTCACTCGTAAAGTGACATTTGAACAAAAATTTAAAGGAGTTGAGGGAGCAAGACACATTGATGTACACAAGAAGGGTACAACAAGAAAAGGAAGCAGCAATCGTGGAAATGGAGTCCTAGCCATAGGCTGTACTGTAATGAACATTATTACCAAGTCACAATACAGGCAACACAGCTTGATTTTCAACTTTGACAATCAATCTGTAACAAAGACCAAGCAACTTAATTATAGTTAAAGAACAATGGACAATGGGAAAGAAGCAATGCAGCTATGGTGCACTGTTCAGATCTCCCTTCAAGACCAAACATTATATTTCCCTAGCTGGCTTAAGAGCTATAAGCTATGTTAGCCCACCTCAGAAATTGTCTTTGACAAGAACAGTCACCTAGACCAAGTCACAGCTATTCTCAAGAAGCCCAAATACAATGACAACATAAGGGCAAATTGGTAAATCTTCCCTGATACTCTGCCAGAGCAGTAGGATGAGGATTTGGGGGAGAGTTCAAGACTTGTATTTCATTCTAGGTCCTGGGACCCTTGGATGGACATTCTTCCTTAGGACCCCTTCCATTCACTGCTGTAGTCCCAGGCAGAGTTTCCAGGGCTCGGGGTAGAATGAGAAGCATGACCAGAATTACCTGGATGAGAAAGGAGCATGTCCCAGGCTGTATTCAGCCTGGTATCAGTGAGGGCTCTCTTACTCTGCATAGACTGGCAGGAAGGAAGAGACCTAGACTCAGGGCAAGGGCAAATAAAACAGTGTCCTGAGAAGGAGCCTACCATGGGCTTCAACTGCCACCAAATATGCTGAACATCCACTGTGCTGTTTCCAGAAACGGCTGTCTCAAGATATGAGAAGCAGTATGCTGGACTTCTCAAGCTGTGCAAAGAGTGAAGATGGACAGAGCCAGCTCTGGACTGCCCTGAGGATTACAGAAGAGAAGTAGCAGCCCTGCACTGCTTGGAGATGTAGAGAAGTGAAAGTGAGTCACTTCACAACTAGAATCTGATTCTGTTTTATTTCCCAGGAAGCAAAAGTGAAGCCTCATGGAGCATGAGGGTGCGGCCGAGGGGCCGGACATCACAGAAGCCTTGACATTTACTGAGCTCCTACCCTGGGTCACACTGCACCACATTGTTACATAAGATAAGATGTTTCTCTCATTATGGGAGATGTTAGTCACAACCCATTAGCTTCTGGGCATCTGTCATCATCTTCTGAACAATCCTGTCCCTTCCCCCTCCTTCTGAACAGTTCTCTCCCCTCCCTCTTCCCTCTTCTCTCTCCTCTCCTCTCTTTTTGTTTCCTTTCTTTTTCTCTTAAAGCCCATACTTTGCCATCACACCATACACTGATTTAGCCAGTGCAGCTCTGGGTGTACAGATAGGCAGGGCTTGGAACCCTTCAACCAAAAGTTGGGGTTCTAAAAGCTTCTACCAGAGGTCGTCTAAGCTCTGGTGTTTCCTACCACTGCTTAAGATCTAAGCTTTTATGTTTCCTACCATAACTTAAGGGTAATTCATTTTCTTAAAAAAAATAAATCTTAGCGGGGCACAGTGACCCAACTTGTAATCCCAGCACCCTGGGAGGCCCAAGCAGGAGGATTGCTTGAGCTCCAGGGTTTGAGACCAGCCTGATCAAGAACAAGATCCTATCTCTACCAAAAATACAAAAAAAGAAGAAGAACAACAACAACAACTAGCCAGACATCATGGCAGGCACCTGTAGTTCCAACTACTTCGGACACCAAGGCAAGGGAATCACTTTAACTCAGGAGTTTGAGGTTGCTGTGAACTATGATGACATCACAGTACGCTACCCAGGGTAGATTTTCTTTTTCAAAAAAGAAAAAAGAAAAATCTTATTTAGTAAAGCATAAGTCTAAAACAAAATAAGAAAAACAGAAATGTCTAATGAGGTCTTTGGAAGTATTGCACTGTCACTGTATGAGGTATGACTGGTTCTTTTCCCATTTGAATTGTAGTCATCTGAATGAAGGGGTGCATTTGGTCAACCTCCTTTCTTCTGGTTTGCTCTGTTCCTTTTTGATCTAGAAAGGATTTCAGCTTATTCCCTCGGGTCTCTATACAAAAGGCCACAGGGAAGGGAGATAACAATGGCTACTTTGGAACAAAGGAGGCTCCCATCCTTGATAGCTTCCCCATATGAACTTGGGTGAGGGGAGGGGCTTCTGGTCCTTCAGGTCCATCAGTCACAAACATGGGCCCTGATCCATGGTCCAGTAGGACTGGCAATGCACACCTACACTTTCAGGCTCTGACAAGCTAATATGTCTTGCCAATCAGCCCACAGCTAGAATATAGGGCAATGCCTACTTCCTCTTGCCAGTGAAGCAGGAGAGTCACTTGTAAACTGAAAGCCAGAAGATAAGATGGACTGGGAAACACAGCAAGAACTTCGCTTTCAAAGAAAAGTCCATGTTCCTCATCAGATCAATGCTCCCCATCAAACCAGTGCTCCCATGCCAAAAAATGCAGCAAGAAGAGCAACTTTGCTGATCAGGTAAGGAAATAAGTCCTTTTCTTTGTGACATGAGACTAATTATTAAAAGGGATGGCATGCTTTGCCAAGAATTTCAATTCTGTATTTACCAAGACATGAGTTGCCCATATACTACATGCAGTCATATACTTTTTTTTTGAAGAAGTGTAGCATTTGGGAAGCAGCAGATGCCATCCCTTGTGGAATCAGTTAACATAACATTTCTGTAACATCATTAAAAAGTCTATCAAAATGGGAAACTTCTCTAAGCTCTCTCAGGGTCCAATAAAAACAGTCAGGCAGCAGCACCCATAGATCAGTGGGTAGAGTGCCAGCCACATACACCCAGGCTGGTGGGTTCAAATTGGCCTGAGCCAGCTAAACAACAATGACAACAACAACAACAACAACACATAGCTGTGTGTTGTGGCAGGCACCTGTAGTCCCAGCTACTTGGGAGGCTGCAGCAAGAGAATTGCTTAAGCCCAAGAGTTTGAGGTTGCTGTGAGCTGTGACACCACAGTACTCTACTGAGGGCGACATAATGAGATTCTGTCTCATAAAAAAAAAAAAATAGAAAGAAAGAAAAAAGGAAAAAAAAAGAAAACAACACTCAGAGGAGGAAGGCACATCAGAGGGTATTCTTGCTAAAGGGCATATGCGTTCACATAATAAAACAGTTTTCCAAAATCCTCAAAGTCCACAGCTGGGATTTCTCGCCATTGATTCTTGGAGCTTAAGGGTCACCTTTGAATCCTGGACAGGAGAAAAGCTTCAAAGCCCTCATGCCAATCCTGATCTTGTACCCTGGGGCAGAAACCACCAGTTTTCCCCCAGCTGGCTGCCTGGTCCCCCACCTTTCTGACTGATGGTGATTGAGTGGTTACATGATGACAGTATGAGCCCTGGGATCAGACAGACCTGATTTCAATCCTAGGCCCACTGTGTGACCTTGGACCACTGCTAATCTCCCCAGGGCCTCAACAGGAATTATAAATCCCACAAACAGCTGGCCTAAAGACTCATGCCAATCCCCCAGTAGGTACTCAATAAACAAGGGCTTTGGGAAGCAGGTTCTGACTGCATGGACAGTCTCTAGCTCAGGGAGTTCCAGATTTTGGCCTGTCCAGTCAGGGCAGCTGCAGAAATTTCTGGCTGTGCTGATCCCGAAGCCATGACTTACAAACTTCAGAGACATTCCATCTGGGGCACTAAATATTTTTAGTTATAAATACATAGCTTGTAGCATGTGGGACTTCAGCCTACACTCAGGTGATGCCCACAGAGCTACCTGACAGGTCCCAGACAGACTCTAGGGCTTCATGGAACATTCTTCTGAGGCCACTATGGCCCCTGTGATCAAGGCAATTCTGGTTTTCCATTTCTAGTGTGACTTGTTTTCTACATCAAGAACAAGCTGCTTAAAGAATAAGTTCCCATAGGAATACAATAGCAGGCTGGAGGCAAGATAGAATTAGCACTTCCCATACCACTGCCAGCCCACATGGGGGCCCAACTCAAACAAAAGACCCCAATACCACTTTCTTCTATTACTTTCCTATAACATCCTTGTGGACCAAATTCATCCCAGACTTTTCTTCAACTCACTGAGTCCTCACTGCTGCCCCAGGGCTGTGTGCGCTGTTGCCATCTCTAGCATACTGCACAAATGGAACCTGGGAGAAGGTCTTCACCAACCCAGTGTCTTATAGCCAGCAAAGCTGGAACTTGGACCCTGGCCTCTTAACCACTATGTAACGCTGTCACAGACAGACATAGGCTAGAACCCTGGTCTG